GCTATAATTTCTTCTCGGCAGTGGTCAGGCGGACCGTTCATCGACGAACTTCACATGGTTCATATCGATTACCACCTCTGGTTACATAACACAGATGGTTTCGATCTTCTAAAAGGCTTGAACTTTTGCTGTCTTCATCGAGATCCGGACTATAGAAGTATGGGCGATCTACGCGATATTCTCGGTGCTTCACGGAACTTGTCAAGCCTACGGCTTTGCTTCGACATCGTCGGGCAAGAGATCCCCTCTTTCCCATCTGAACGCGTTCCTAGTTCCGAAGGTCTGAGGTGTGTGACTCTCGGCCGGACAAACCAGTGCCTTTTTGCTTCCCTACCGCGCATGCCCCGGCTGGAATCGCTATATTTGGACGGAGTGCCTTTCTCTTTGAATGGGTTGGCCTCTTTTCTCGAGAAGAATGCGGATACGTTGCGGCACCTTCACTTGAATATGACTCCCGAAAACTCCTTGCCACCAAGATTTATAAGAAATATTCCAAATTTGAACTTAGAGACTTTCGGGCTGGAACATGGCGGAGTATGTCGCATTCACCGGACTGGATCTACGGCAGACAGCATCTTGGACAAGGGGACCCAAACATTCGATGATGACATCTACCTTGACAGCGATGGGTCCTACGAGCCAGGAAACGACGATTTGGATGAACTGGAGTCTATCACGGAAGACGACATCACCGCAGGTCAGCCCGTTATGTCCTGGGAAGATGACGAACGACCAATGTATGCTCGCGAACATATGTCGCACCTCCGCCACCTGGAACAATTTAAAGCAGGTGGTGGTGAGGGACCCGCAATGTGGCATTTTAAAAAGCGGAATGGCGAGGAGGCGTGGGGAGAAGACCCGTTGGAGTTCTGGCCAGATTGGGAAGGGAGTGAGGCAGGTGACGTACGTGAGCCGCTGTCTGCTCATTGCAAAGCGTCTGCATTGATACCGAGAAAGACGAAACCTCTCACGAGAAGCTTCTTTTTTAAGTGGGATGAGCCTGAAATAAATGGTCGGATTGTAAGGATCGACAAGTACTGGAATAAAGCTGTGGCCGACAAGAACATTAACATCCAAGCAACAGGTCCCTATCAACCCCGATACATAGGTCCACATCACCTCCAATTCATACCAGGATGGTAATGAGGCTAGAATTACACTGTAGATAGCGGTTATAGAGGTTTTCAATATAGAAAGGTGGCGATGTCTTGATATTGAAGGGAGCAGTGGGATATAGGTCGTGGATGCGTGGAAAGCAAGCTTAAGACGACTCACGCTCTCATAACATACGCTGGAGGCTATCTGTAGAGGGTTTCTGTAACCTAGCCCATCTTAGCCCTCACAGCGTCAGAACACGGTAGTCAAAACGGTGTATTCGCAAGCGGTAACCTGCTTTATGAAAGTATGGGAAAAGATTAAGAGGGCAGAAGGATATACCGCGATTGACTGAGTTATTATTCGACCTTCTATGAGGAACAGACTGACTTGGATGTCGAGTCTTGGTCTTTCAATTTGTCGAATGAATGATGAACGACGCGCTCATCACATAAGGTATGTTGCCATAGGGGATAGCCTCAATGTATTCAATCTGAAAAGTTACTCTCCCCCTTGTCCCACGCAGCAGATGTCTGCCAAACTGTGTCGCGTGACATAAGCGTGGTCCGATGGAACAGTTTTCTCCTGACTCACTGATAAGGGTTTCGTCATAATTTAAGCCCCAATCGTTCCCGATGCATTGGGTTTGGCTACACTCTTAGCGCTTGGTGTCATGATGTTCAGAACAAGAGTGTGATGAGACCCTGGATGTCACTGATGTCCTCAGCAGCGGCTTTCCAGACCTCGTAAATACGGTATATCTCGTCTACATCGGCCTTCACTGTATTATGGCCAATTGAACCCTGTTACAACGATGGGTTAGCGTTCAGCAGTTGCGAACCCCGAATGTCGGAAAGAAGACACAAATCGATCATGGAAGACAAACGATGAGGACATACCGGAACTTCTGGAAGGGCTGTCTTGCTGAGAATGCCAATGTAAGGGACGTTGGACCATATTCTTGGTCAACACGGACGGAAGGGCTGAAAGTTTTCGAAAGCTCGACCGTGGCGACTCGGTGCCCTTGTCTACCCCTCGTAGGACAACTGAGATGCTTTTGGTGGCTGTGTTATACGTGATGGTGATGATCGAGTCTGTGCTTATGGCGGGGTTTAGTGCTTTGCCAGGTCAACTGAAGCGTCGATGAACTCTCTGATGACAGACTCATCGACACCTGAAGAGTCGTGCTGATATGTGGAATCGACAGAGTCTTCAGGCAGAATCATGTCCTAACTACAAAGTTGTTCGCACCGCCTTTCAATGCCCAGAACGGATTCGCGTTTGAACTTGCGTTCGCCACTGCCATGGTCCCATTGCCAGGGACAACGTCGTAGCGGACGACATTGTCCGACGCGAGGATAGAAACTCCTGGGGCGACCTGATCTGCGTTCATCAGCATATACATCTTAGCTCAAGGACTGCACGGATGTCGCAGAAGTCTTCGACTTAGGTGGTATAGTGGTTCGAGTTGATATCCAGGAGAAGATCGCCAAGTTGCGCTGATAACTTGTTGCAAATACAGTCTGCCCCTATACTCAAGCTTAGACATGATTCAAAGTACTTGAGAGAATGGTTGCCCGAGCTGACAAAAGAGGCGGCAGTGACCGCTCCTGGTAGGCAGGCAAGAAGCAAGCTGAGACATATGATTGATGGATCAAGAAACTTCGCAAAAGAGATTGTGACGACTGGCAATGATGTGGAATCCGGGTTGACGAGATGGCCCATCGCATTCTGACCCAGTATTACTTTCTGGGCCAAGACTGCGACAGCTTCTCGACTTTAGATCCCTTGATCTTCTTCGTCATTGTAGCTTGGTATCAACTGTGCTTGGGAGACCTCGTCACCAGCCCGCCTGCTAGAGACGTACGTGGTGACCACGCAAAGCTTGTCCGAGAGATCGAAACCACAGGCGCTGTCCTGTTGAAGAATGTCAACAACACGCTGCCTCTCACTGCACCTATGAACATTGTCGTTTTCGGCAAAAATGCTGGCGATCTGACCGACGGCCTCATTTATCAATATCCACCTGCAACAAACGTCGGGTTCAATTACGGGACCTTGGACATTGGTGGAGGGTCTAGCAGCGTTCGCCATACTGTACTGGGTCACGCCCCTGGACGCCATCGAGGAGCGTGTGAAGGTTATTGGTGCTTGCGTGCAGTATCCTTAACAATGAGCGTCTCGCTGCTGGGGACTTTCACAGTATCCATCCCGTACCTGTAGTGTGCATCGTCTTTCTCAAGACATTCGCGGCTGAGGTATCGACCGCGTCTCATTTGAGGCTGATTGGAACTCTGCAGCAGTTGTCCCGCAGGTTGCGAATATGTGTACCAACACCTTGGTAGTTACCTACTCCGTCGGCATCAACACGATGCCATGGGCTAGCCACCTCAATGTTAGCGCTATCATCGCTGCTCATCCGCCCGGGGAACAGACCGCCAATTCCATTGCGAACGTCCTTTGGGGCGATTACATCCGGTCTGGTAGATTACCATACACCATACCAGCGACGGAAGCGGACTGTGAAATTGCGATCACGAATCTCACCAGTGATGGGGTAACTTCCCCGGATGCCTGGCAATCCAACTTCACCGAATGTCTGATGATTGGTTCCTGACATTTCGATGCGATGGGCATCGACCCTTTGTATGAGTTTGGGTTCGGTCTCAGTGACAAAACCTTTGATCTCGCGTCAGACCTTCCGGTCAAAACCTTGACGGACAACATGACATCTTTGGCTCTCGCAAGCAATGGCTGGTCTATACCTCTGAGCGAACTGTTTATCTCGGTGTGTCAAAAACGAGTGATCGCAGTGGCGCAACCATTGTTCAGCTCTACCTGTCGATGCCCGCCGATTCGGCCCATCTGGCACGCCTGTGAGGCTTCTTCAGGGGTTCTTGAAGATTGAACTTGTTGCAGGTGAAACCCGTGAGGTGGCCTTTGAGTTGGACCGGCGAGACGTCAGCTATTGGGATACCACTGTGTAGACCTGGCCTGTTCCCACTGGAAAAATCCGCCTCGAGGTTGGGTTCAGCTCTAGGAATCTGCCAAAATCGGCTGAAGTAACAATCTTGTGAGGGCATGCCTCTGCTGCCTGTACGTTACATCAATTCACCAAAGACGATGAAGAGGGATGACAGTGAGAACCACAGCGAGGACGCGAGGGGCGACATCATGGAACATTACTGCAGTAGAACAAATGCCTGAATTCAGCGATTCTCTGTGAAGACCACACCTGCACGGCAACTTGCTGCGCAATTTCAGGCGCCATCCTGTGAGCCTATCGCGCTGCCTTGAAGTATGAGACCTTCGCAACCCTGTAGTCTCGATGAACCGATTCATGGCGGTAATGACGTAGAGGAAAGCCCAATGGTTTGGTAACGCTAACGGGGTGCAACAGAGTTCCAAAGGTCTGGATCTTCAACTGTTCCGCGCCATGGATTTCTCGGCGTGAGATATGCCAATTATCTCTTGGCACACCAAGACACAGAATGCTTCTACTGACACAAGTCAAATCCAATAGCGCCAGTTGACGGTGTGAGAGTCTGTTGACAGGGATGGGTGGACCTGCATCAGGGGGTCCCCGATCTGTTCGTCTGATCCAACGATCTCACCCCCCTTCCCGCCCTTCACCCCACCGGTAGCGTCATCCAGTCCACTGTCTCGGTGAGCGGCCGTGAACCCCACCTTCACCTTGATTTCTACCCCGCACCGCCGAAGGTGAACCGGTTTAAAAAATTTCCAACGTCGGCCGCCCGTTCACTCACGCCAAGTCTCACTCAACTGCTGCTAAAGAAGCTAAGCTTTTGAAGGCTGCGTCATCCAGAAAGTCCCTCATTTACATTCCTTCACCAGGCCCAGAACCCCGAATCCAGAGCTGCCCAGAGACTAGAGGGAGCGCCACGATGGACGAGCTAACGGCGTGGGCGAAATCCCACGGAGCTGCCCTGCACCCATCAGTCGAAATCTACAACGATCCAGCAACGGGAAACTCATTCCGCGTCTCCCCAGCAAGTGCCGGTGTCAAACCCGGCGATACGGTCGTCACCTGCCCCCTGGGTCTCACGCTATCTTATCTCAACGCCACCACCACACCGAACCCAGGCTTCCACCACGAAGACACACCTCCCTTCCCACCATCATTCCTCAAGAGCGTGCCTCCACATGTCATTGGTCGCTTCTTCCTCATCAACCAGTACCTTCTTGGTAAGGACTCGTTCTGGTACCCTTACATCAGGACCCTGCCACAACCAGAACACCTCCAGTCATGGGCACTGCCCCCGCTCTGGCCATCCGACGACATTGAGCTGCTGGAAGACACCAACATCCATGTTGCCATCACCGAAATCAAAGCACGCCTGAAGTCGGAATACAAACAAGCTATCGCTGCCTTCGGTGAAGACCCCGTCCGCAAAGACTACACACGCCTCCTTTACAACTGGGCCTACTGCATCTTCACCAGTCGGAGTTTCCGCCCGTCCCTGGTCATCCCCGCTAGCCGGCAGCACACCCTCTCCCTCCCAGAAGGCTGCGCCATCGACGACTTCTCTCTACTCCTCCCTCTCTTCGACGTCGGAAACCACTCGACGTTGGCCAAGATCTCCTGGGACCACCCGGAAGATGCCGTCGACACCTGCGCGCTGCGAACGCTAGACGCCTACGGCCCAGGCGACCAGGTGTACAACAACTACGGCACCAACAAGACGAACGCCGAACTGATGCTGGCCTACGGCTTTCGGATAGACGAATCAGAGGGTTTGCATAACGACTACGTTCACGTCCAGAAGCGAGGCGCCGCGCCCTCGGCGGAGGTCGGTGCTGGGTCGGCGACGAAGCCCAGGGACTATCTCATCTCCCTGCGGCCGGTGGCGCACACAAGTTCTGTGGCTGCGCGGTTCGTGCAGCTGGTACCTGACGTCGACGCTGAGAAGATCTTACCTGCGTTTAGGCATGTGCAGGACACCATGATCTGGGACCTAATCCTGGCGCAGACGACGGAGGAGCACCGGGATGAGCTGTTGCCGTTGCCGGATGGCGTCGAGGGTGCTGCGGTGAATCAAGAGCGATTAAGAATGGTTCTGACGGGTCGTGTTCCGGAGGATTCGACGCCGTTGTTGGAGCAGACTGTGGCAATTATTCAAAACAAGATCTTCCAGGAGCTGGAACGACTCGATCAGTCTGAGTTTGAGCTGGACGAGTCCGAGGCAACCAGAAATCAGCTCATGGCGTGTGAATACCGGAGGCAGTGCAGGAAAGTTCTAATGAACGCCCTCGAGTCAATGGGGATGACTGAAGAGTCAGCGTGAGGTTGTAGTCAGGGTTGCGACGGAGTATTAGAGGCTTCTAAGATTTCCTTAAGGGCAAAAGCCTCTCATAGAATACGGATACCATGAGCATGAAGTCAAACCAAACATGGGCAAACGGCTCATACGCTTCGGTCATATGGACTTGAAAAGAAACGACTTGTATGAATCGCGCCATGAATTTGTGAGCATATTCATATGTTTACTTGATCGACTTTCGTTAGGAAGCCTCCTGCTGTATGCAATTGTTGCTCACCAAATCGTTTGGTGAGTTCGCGCGTGATAAAAGTTCTGGACAGTTACAAGACGGAGCGACATCCTGCTTGCATGACACTCGGCAGTAAATGACGGTAAATAAAGTTGCATGGGTGCTTCCAAGTTTGTAACAGATTCAAAGAGAATGATCGGCATTAATCTTATCTGAGATTGTGTCACTGCACGTAGACTCAAACTGTCTTGAAATGAGTGTGAAGCCAGTAGGGACGTGTAAGCAGCCTAGATGATCGCCCGTTCATTCGGAGCCGCTGTCCTCTTCGGATCCGATCCAGGCTCAATAAGAAATTAACCGTTTCAAACTCAAATTCAAGAGGAAAGGCACACACAAAGCAATATTTAATTAAACCAGCAATCCAGGCCTTCTCCTCAAGCTCCCGCTCATCCGGCGGTGCCAACCAATGTGGATCCCCCGCGTTTCCCCTTTGGGGTCGGGGATGCCCTCCCTCCGCGCACCCGCATAAACACCACGCTACCCAACCCAGTTCGCCATCTCGCCAACAACCCACAACCCAGCTTCCCCTCGTTCCTCTGGCGGTTCATCCCATTCCCAACCGATCCACGGACCCGGGTTCTGCGGTCTAATCAGGCACGCCAGGCTCCGCTTCCGTGCTGCCCCTGATCTTTTCCGCCAATGGACCGGCAGCAACGGCGAGGCGGGGGTGACAGCTGACGATCCCGGTTTGGGTATGGCTTCGGAGACGCGGTGCCGGCGATGGACGGGTGGTGAGATGAGGCGATGGGAAGATATAAAGCCGGTGGGATGAACGCTCGAAATTGTTTTTAATCTGGCCATTTGATCGCCAAGCCAGAGTTTTTCCTTCTCTCGTCTTCAGAGTTCCTCAAGATGGCTCGTCTCACGGCTTCGATCCTTGTTGCGACCGGTCTTGCTGGCGCTGCCAACGCGCAGGCTGCGGTGTGGGGGCAGTGTGGAGGAACAGGATGGACGGGGGCGACAAGCTGTGCTGCGGGGGCTTATTGCTCTTCGCAGAACCCTTGGTACTGTGAGTTGATGCTTTTCACGGAATTCAAGATTTGATACTCATGGAGTCAGTCCAATGTGTCCCTGGCACCGTCGCCGCGTCAACTTCAACCGCCGTTAGCGTCCCGGCCACAACCACGGTCCGAACAACGACGACCACCGTCCAGACCACCTCGTCCGCCGCCGCGACGGCTACGGCCACTAGCTCACCCTCCGGAGTGAAGTACATCATCACCTTGTAAGCCTCCCTTACCCTGTACCTACTGAACAGTCACCAACACCTCATTCAGTGGCGACTCCTACTCCCAAACAGGCTTCAACATCAACTCCACAAAGCCCAACCCGCAGAACCCCCTCGGAAACCCCGATCTCCCCGGCTGGACCGCCTCGGGCGGCCTCGACTGGGTCGGCTTCATGGTGACGCAGTTCAACGCCAGCCTGGTCTACAGCTATAACCTCGCCTACGGCGGCGCCACCACCGACGCGACGCTCATCGCGCCGTACGCGAGCACCGTGCTGAGCTTCATCGACCAGGTGACCGAGTTCTCGCGCAGCCTGGCGTCGAAGCCGAGCTGGGCTCCCTGGACGGCGGATAACACCCTTGCTGGGGTCTGGATGGGTGTGAATGATGTTGGCAACGCTTTCTGGCTGAGTAACAGGGAGACGCTGCTCGTTCAGGTCCTGGGCAAGTACTTTGATCAGCTGCAGATTCTGTACAACGCTGGAGTAAGGAAGTTTGTGCTGCTAAGCGTACCTCGTGAGTCTTCCACGATCCGGTACCTTCGATAACAAAAGCTTCTAACACATGACAGCCACGCAAAAGACGCCCCTGATGCTCGCCAACGGCGCCGACTCGAATGCGCAGCTTGCGGCGGCGATCAAGCAGTACAACGATCTCATCAACAGCAACCTCGCAGCCTTCAAAGCCAAGAACTCGGGTGTGACGTCCTGGGTTGTTGATACCACTGCGGCTTTTGACAAGGCCATCAACAACCCTACGGCTTATGGCGCTCCTGATGCTACTTGTTACAACGCCGACGGTGTCAGCTGCCTATGGTTCAACGACTACCACCCTGGCGTGGCCATTCAGAAACTTGTGGCACAGGCTGTTGCACAGACTGTTGGCGCACCGTTCTTCAAGGGTAAGTTCAGATTCCAGTACAGGGTCAACGTAACTGACGACGTGTAGTATAAGAGGCAAGCTTGGTGCGTAGATCTCTTAAGATCCTAACTGAGAGGTTCTCGTATTAGAGAGGGTTTATTTAGCAGACAAGCAAAATATAAAATGAGTTTTTCCAAGTTATGTTGCTATGATATCAAATATTCTGCTTCTCATGCGAGATCTCCATATACATAACACCCTCGCCATCGTATTACACCTCCTACTTGGTTTTAATTCATCAACACAACTTCCCTCAGGCGCTTTTGGCAATATCATCGCTCACAAATACAATCCGATCCCCGCCAACCCGCGCCTTCCCCCATGCCGACTCAACATCCTTAAACGCCTCCACCGTGACACCCTTCCTCTCCAACTTGGCCGCAATCTCAACCATACCCCCAAGCTCCTTCGCATACTCCTCCATCGTCCAGCTTCCAGGCCCTGCCCCCCTTAACGCGACCCTCTTCCCCCTCAGAATCGCCCCGGGCAGCAGCATCGTCTCATCCCGCGACACAGAGCCGATGTGGATGTATTGCACCTCCCTCTCCGACTTGGGCAACGCCTTCAACATCCCCGCGGCCGCGTCGCCGTACACATAGTCCAAAACGACGTCGAACTCGCCCAGCTTAGACCAGTCCGTCTCGGGCTTCAACACAATCCTCTCGTCAAGCGGCATCTCCGCCAGCGCGGCCTCGTTTCTCGCGATCCCAATCACCCTGCCCGCGCCCTTTGACCTCACAACATCGACGGCGACCCGCCCGCTGGCGCTCGTCGCTCCGAGAATGGCGACGGTGAACCCGGGCTTTTGCGGTGCTGCGCGCGCGGAGATGGCCATCCAGCTGCTCATGATCGGGTTCATGAACGCTGCGGCCGTGACCGGGTCCGCATTGTCAGGCAGCTTGGCGACGAAGTGTCGCTCGATGTTGACGAATTCTGAAAATGAGCCGAACTGGAGGGAGGCGAAATAGTACCGCTGGCCTGTTGTCGGGTCTTCGCCGACGCCGTCGACGCCGGGGTGGTGAGGCAGGGTGGTGGAGGTGTAGTGCTTCCCGGAGGCGCGGGAGAGGACGAGGCGGTGGATGCCGGCTGCGAGGACGCGGAGGCGGATCTGGGATTGTGAGGGTGCTGGGAGGTCTGGGACTGTGGTGTAGGTTGGGGGAGAGCCCCAGGCGTTGACGATGGCGGCGTGCATCTTTGGTGCTTGGACTATGTGGTAGTGGTGTGGTGCGAAGATGTTACGTGAGTGAGAGATAAAAAGAAACAAAAAGTGAGAGAGTCTGGTGTTCATTGTGGTTGAAACTTTTGGCATTCTTGAGATGACTCTTATATACAACCTATGCGCACACATGGGACCGTTTTCATAGACCGCCTCCACTACCAGGTGCGCGATGAGTAAGTGGTCTCACTGGAATGTAGCAGAGAGGCACATTGTGGCTGCGAGATGCTGAGTGTGCGTGCATACGAATACATAACGTGCTTTACGTGAAGTGGAAGCCCGCGCGGTCGGCGTTATTCCAAACCGCCGGAGAGCCGCGCGCGGGTCCCAAGACGGAATGGTGCTCGCGCTCGCGGTGATGCAGGCGATTGGCGGCTGAACCAAGCTTTCCAATTACATGCTAAGTATTTCCCACATTGGGCAAGTTTCCTCATCACGCATCCAATGCTGACATTCGCCGTGTTTGGCATGTTTTGGAGAGGCACATGCTGACTACTCCATGTGGCGTGGCAAGTTGTTTGTTCTTCGCTGTAGGGCTGACGGGCGCGCGCGACAAAAGTAGCTAGGCGCGAGCGGGGACCTTGAAATCGCCGTCGGCGATTTGGGATCTCGACATTGAGGACTCTTCTTCGTTGAGTCAAGCGTGGAGTTGATTCGGAAGTCGGCACGAAGAAAATGACGTGTTTCCCTCCGCCGTCCACGGTCCGCGGATCATCCGTGGTAATCATCAATACCCTCCGTAATATCTATCCAAATCGTCGTAACTCAGCTCGTAGTCGCCCTGCATGCCGCCTTCCATGATCCGCTCGAACCGGTCATAGCTGTCCATGCCGCCATCATCGTCGTCGTCTGTCCAATCCTCGTCTCCACCGTAGTCGTCGTTACGGATGCGACTCATCCTCTCCTGGGCCTTCACGAACTTCTTGTACTGATAATCGTAGTCGTTTTTATCCACCTTGTCACGGACTCGTTGAGACACACGAGGAATGCAGGGCTGCTCGGCGGAGCGACCGATGGCCCACTTGATGGCCTCGCCTAGAAAGGCGTCGTTATCGTCGCTGGCCAAGTACGTGTCCACGTTGGCATCTGGCTTCCCAAGCATTCCGTTCTCTGATAATATCTCCTGCAAGAAGGCGACAAAGTTCTGGATCCCCCAGTTCAGCCTGTAATAATTGATTGCAAACTCGCCTTGGACGATTGACTCCACAACCTGGTCCAAAATCTGAAGGACCTCGATGTGGCGCATGTTGCCGACCCGCTGAATGCGCTGCAACATGTCTTTCGTCCTTTCTTCACTTGTCGCCTGCCTTGACTTTGCAAACTTTTGCGGAATGCCGGAAGGGCTGACGTTGGAGTCGACTGGCAGACCCAAGTGATGGCGAGCGATATGAGCGATGTAGTCCATGTTTCCACGCTCCCAAATCTTGATTTCCGCGTAGCGCTCGTGGAATTTGGCAACACGGTCAACCTTCTTGAGGAGATCACCCCAGACATGGTACCGCTTGCCGTTAGACATCGTCGTGTACTTGACAAGGACATCGGAAGCTTTGGGCTCGCTCGTGGCGGGTGCGTTGAATCCGAGGAGATCCGTCCCGTGGAAGGCCAGGAACTTGTCGAATTCTGGCCAAGACGGCATATCAGGGTAGTCCCGCTTGGCGATGGTGTACAACACACCACTCCAGAGGGGGTCAGGCGTTCGGGTAAGAAGACGGATGCTCATGATAGTGCTCTGCAGTTTGGTCCGGAAATCACGCAACGCGGGCCAAACAGGCTCGCAGCGGAACAGCTCATACTCGGGGATTCCCTCGTCAAAGGGTATGCCCATCATGTCCGCCCGTCTCTCCTTGTCTTCCAACGTGAAATCCTCAAAGATGTAACAGTCCATGATGTGGAGATCGCGCTTCGCTTCATTCTTCCATTCCGATGTGAAGACGGCGTCGCACGTTTCGATAGACTTTCTCAAGCACTCGGCAATAACTTTGCCCGTTTCTTGCAGCTGTTCGAATGCGACTTCCACCTGGGAATCGATGATGTTGCGGATGTCAAGATAAAGTTGCAGGGAGAAGATGAAGTGAGATGGGTACATGCGCAGTTCCAGTACCTTCTCGAAGTCGAGCTCCATCTCCGGTTGACCTGGTATGACGGGAGGCTGCTCCTGAGTCTTCTTCAACGCCTTTACTGTAGCGATCTCCGGGAACAGGTCAAACATGCATGCGCTGTTGAATTGCATGAAGTCGGCCAAGGTGATGGGGCCGTACTGGGGTCGTCTGCGAGCTGAAGGAGGGATAGTCGGGACCTTCCCTGGCGGCATGTGATCGAAAATATCCCTGATACCATTGTATGCGGACCATGCGAGCCAGTCTGACTCCTCGCGCCAGATCTTCTCGTCTTGTTCCTCCTTCGTCGCGGGCTTGTCGTCGTAGTCGACATGCTCCATGCCGTATTCGAAGAACAGCATCTCCATCATCGCGTCATACGTGCCAAGCTTCGAGAGGCCATTTTCGCGAAGAATGGTGAAAAGCTCCCTCTCCATGCTGCGGAAGAGCTCGGCGGCGGCGTTGGTGATGACGGCGAGGGTGTTGAGCGAGACGGACTTGTCGTAGAAGTAGTCGGCCCAACGCTCGGCGACGTGGTTGCGGATGGTGTTGAAATCCTCGAAAAAGCAGTATATGAGCATATAGTAGTTGAGGTCCTCGTCGTCGACATCGTCGGGATCCCTGCCCACCGAGAAGCGGTCGACCCAGTCGCTGTCTCCACCCCTGCCTGACTTCTTGGCGCCACCCTTGGGCTTGGAGGCCTTCTTGCCCTTCTTGCCCTTGCCGCCTTTACCCTTCTTTTGGGCCTTCTTAACCGGCTTGCGGCCTGGAGCCTTAGCCTTCGGGGCTTCCTCTTCCTCTTCCTCAGAGTCAGACTCCGAGTCGGAATGCTCGGGATCGACCTCTTCTGCCTCGGGAGCCTTCGGCTTTGGCGTCTTTGCAGGCTTGCCTGGCTTCTGGAACTGGAGAAGGTTGAACATGTTATCCAGCAACTTCATGTCCAGGCGGTCGCTGGCCCTCCGAGGCTCTTCCTTCTGCTTCGGGCGTACTCCAGACACAGCGGACTCGAGCACGCCGAGAACCTTCTCCAACACCTTGATAATATGCTCGTGCTGCTGGTTGCTCAGCTTCAATTTGCCGGTCTTGTCTTGGTCGGCAGTCTTGGAATAGAACCGGGCGCTCTTCTTCCTTAATGCCACCACGTCCCGCAGGACCAGGATCGGGTCCCACGGGATTTCCTCAGGCTTGCTGTTGTTGGCGATTGTCTCCGCCATGTGTTCCAGCTCGCTCCAGTGCACCTTGTCAGAGGCCGCGTCCAGCTTGGGCTTCCTCGCTCCAGCGGACGAGCCATTGCCTTCGCTGGCATCCGGCGGTGTCGGGCTTGGCGTGAATTTGCTGGCGGTTTGCTTCAGCCAGTCGGTCACCCGCGCCTGGCCGAGCTTGTAGCGCTGCCAGGTGCTGGGGGACCGGAGCTTTCCGTCCACTGTCTCTTCTGGTGAACGATTCTTTGCTACCGGATCCTCTGGTGAACTTGATGAATGGGACAGCCGACGGGAAATGTGACGACGGGCGGGGATATCTTGACGACGTCGCATTCCATGGTGGGGTGGGGCAGGGAGAAGGCGCGAATCGAACGCGTCGCGTTGTGGTCCACTTAAGAAGCCTTCCTTCCATTTAATTGATTCCTCACCGAAGTCACCCTCGGTGAGTGTCGGTCAGCCTCGAATACGGCAAAGGGCACATCTCAACCATCCCTTTTTCTTCGTTTCTTACGATCGCTTCATGATTTCTGATGTTTCTCAAGGGCATTGGTCACACGGGGAATTCTGACTTTGACTTGACTTAATTGTGACTAACTGCTGCTGTTCTGCTTGCCCTCTGGCCACTGCATCTCGCGTCTCCCCCTTGCCCCGACTTCAACGTTCTCATATCGCCTTCATTTTAGCGTTCTTGACTTCCATAAGTGACTGTAACTCCATCAAGAGTCGTAAGAGTCAGAAGTGTAGGCATCGCTAGAGTGTCTGCCGCAGTTGTTGCAGTACCCGCGCGACACTGTGCCGGCGGCGAGGTTGTCGGTGCCTCCGCAGCTTCCCGTTTCGCGGCGCTTGCTGCACGTTCTTCTTGAGGTGATGCGAGTGTGGTGGATGCGGCCACACTTCATGCACTTGTAGCGGACATTTCTTCTGTAGCACATGGCGGGCAACGTTGATCGATGGTTATCTTGTTTGGTGTTTGGGCGGTTGATAAGATGGTGAGTTGATTGGGCTGGATTGCAATTTGTATGCGAGGGTGTGTTTGTTCTTCTGTGTTGTTCTGTGGAGGAAAAGAGAAAGCCATCTACCGGGACGGCCTTGACATATTTATACAATAGTTAATTCTGCGTTGTGACACAGAATCTCTCGAAGCCTGCAGTGATTTAGACGTAAAACTGTGAGTTCATCACGATGTTTACCGCAAAGGAGTCAAGTCAACAGCTGTGCGCGCTGATTCATGGTCAGCCGGCAAGAATGGCTAGCTCGATCGGGATGCCTAAGCCTGCGATCGTGACTATAACCGCGAGTTGGCTCATTCAGACGATTTTCGAGCACATACGCTGAGAGCCCAAATACTCAGACCGTCTCTGCCTTGGCTAATACTGATGTAGCCCTGGGAAACATTCCCACGTGTTGGAAACACCGTACATGAGCAGCATCCATGACTCAACAGCTCGGAGATCCACGAGTATCTAATCTTCAGTGGTGTTGATGTCCATTTTGTCTACTTGAACTACCATATCAAGGCCTCGCAACGGTTAAAGCCAGTCTGTATGTGGTCATCAGAGCTTCGCAACCGCCCGTGACTCGTAAGTGGCTCTCTCCTTCCCACTCAGCTCTCGTCTTGCTGGCCCTCCACGACTGCCATCGCCCAAGAATGCGTCTTTCTGGTCCTGATATTCCTTGCGGAATCGCCATTTGTGAGCCAACGATGGTGGTAGCTCTCCTCTCACAGCCTTTGCGAGGTACTCGCCCAGGACAGGCAAGAATTTGAAGGCACTGCGATCAAAGTGGTAAGATACTGGTGCAAATCTCGTTAGGGTAACGTCACTTACTGGCCACACCCAGCTCCTCCAATGAAGAGATTCTTATAGTCGGGATGATCATCCATGATGAAATCTCCTGTTGGGGTATCCGTGTACCAGCACATAGCGACTTTGCTGAATGGCCGATCCGCCAGCTCAGGAACTATCTCTCGAAGTCCTGCTCGCATCCTGTCCTCACCATCTGCCGGGGCAAAATCTGGTCGCTCCTTTGAAACAAGTGGAGGAGACGAAGCATTCGGAGTCAGCTTTCGGTCGTCGTCGCCTGGTGCTCGCGTATATCCCCAGCCATGGACCGCCATCTTGAACGTTTTGGTGTCCTCGTGCGGAGGGAAGTTGAACCAGCCAGTCGTGTAGTTGATGTAAATCGGAAGGTCACGGTACTTGACCATCTCCTCATCTGTCAATGGAAGATAAGCCAAGACTTGAGCCGTGGAAAGAGTCGAGTTGTACATAGGTATGAGTCCTGAGCCCCAAGCGCCTGCAGTCAAGATGAAGCGATCGCCTTTGACCGATGACTGAGTTCCAGCAAGAGTGCGGACGGCCGTGATGGTGTTATGAGCGTTGGTCTCGAACCCCACCACCGTGCCTGCCGGGCCGCAAATGAAAGAAATCCCGAGCTCAAGACACTCATCACGAAGTTGAATAATGGCCTTGCTTGCATCTGCCCATCCGGCTTGGTTGTGGTGATATGCAGAGAAGTTAGGCCCTGTAAGAGTACCTGTCAGAGTTGGGTAGATGCTTCTGGCAGTCTCGGCGTCCTTGAGAATCGACCATGGCAACTGATGCTTCGTCAACTGAGCAGTGGTCTTGTCCATCCATGACTCATCTCCAGGCTTCGGCGAGCCTGCCAAGATGTAGTTGGTTTGATAGAAGATCCCCTTGTACTTGGGGTCATCACGCCACCTGAGGTAAGCTTCGTGGGCAATGCGGTGATAGTCTTCGTCTGCGTAGTCGAATCTGATAACGCGGGAGATATCAGTGCTGGAGCCATCTGGAACCTTTGATAGTCAGTAAATGCCATCTATGGAGGATCTCGGCTCTTACCGGCGGCATTCGTCGATCCAGGACCTTGATGTTTTTGCAGCCATCCAAAGCTAGTTGGCGGGCGACGGATAAGCCAAATAACCCCGCACCAATGATGACAATTTGGGCGTTCTTATCCATGCTTCAGTGTTGGTGTTGGTGTTGGTGTGGTTGCCAGAAGATCCTTGATGAAGTCTTATCTATGCATATTCTCATGCCGAGATACGCTGTTCATGGCTTAAAGTAGGCAAACTCCTTCGGTCTCAATTAGGTATGATGCCGAAGTCCCACAGGCATCGGCCCCCACGAGCCGATTACGGGGCCGGTTCCCCGCACCGAGTGCTCCCAGCAATGGCGGACATCCGTTCACGTGACCGGAAGGTGCTGCGCAAGAGAAGCGTCCTACGCCGTGGAGTGACGGTTACACGAGCTGAGTTGATGGAACCCAACAAATAGAAACCCCATAAGAGAGCTGGCTGTCTAAGTCCAAATTGTCCACAGCTACGTCTTCCGCCAAGTTGAGATCCAATAAGAGTTGCCTCTGTGCAGCCGGTTCTTCATACAACGATCATCAACTTCAATCCCGGTATGGGATGCTTCAATTTCCAAGCTCGGTAATTGAATATCTAAGAATCGTATTACCAGTGAAGTCGGTTGAAACTGGAGCACTTATCACCTTCAAAGTCATTAATCGGACGACAGATTCCAACGGTTGCACGAGCATCTTGGCGGCGAACAAGACCTTCGGAAAAGCAGGCTAATTATTCAAGACAATAATGTATTCTAACTTCCGTCCAGAGTTGAACAGTCCAGACAATACGAAACTTGCTGCACTCAAACTATGTTGTTTAGGGACTGGCAGTGGGCACGGAGGTCTTCCGTCTCCAGTTCGCCACGGACCCACTATGCTGAGGTTCAAAGCCCAGTCGCACCCGTACCCACTGCCCCGGGGCACGATTCACAAGAATCCGGGGTAACGATGGCACAGGGCTGGCGACAACAATTCGTATCACCAATCCATCACTTTACCGGCCACAGAAGTGATACTAGACATGTAAAAGCTGGGCTCGGTCAAGGCTCAGAATACGCAGCGAGAAACGAGACAAGCTAGACCGGTAAAGACCACCTCCATTCATGCTTCGATTTGGTACTGAAGTTCCTGCTACCAAGTCGCTGTTCCTGAATAGAAATTCTCAGGCAGTTTCATCCCAGGTTTCCCTTAAAAAGAGTCGTTTTTCAAAAGAAATGATCACGAGCTTCCGGGTTATCTGATGTCATAATGGGTACACGTGCCGAACCACCGCCAACAAGCGGTTTCCCGCTGGCCGCCGCTCAACCGGCCTTCGGCTCGCTAACTGAGGATTTCCCCGCAGCACCGGCTTGCTGCCTCATTATCAACGCTTCGCTTCGCAGTCCAGCACCGTAACATACAGTGAAAATTGTTGCTGGAAACGACGATTTGAAATTCTTGTGCACGCTGAATCGAAAAAGATGTCTACACCTGAAGATCTTGTGAAGCTCGATGACTTCCAGAACATCTTCTCGCTGAAAGGGAAGGTTGCAGTCATATCTGGCGGGTCGCGTGGATTAGGTCTTCACACAGCCAGCGGGTAAGTTCAAGAACACAAGGTTCTATCTACCACTGGCAATGATGATGGCTAATTAGCTCTCCAGCTTTCTCCAAGCAGGGTGCTCCCGCGTTTACATAGTTGCCCGCAGCGAGGGCCCTTTGAACGATGCCGCAAAAGCCCTCAATGCACTCACAAACAAAAGCCCCGACGCCCGGGCAATCGCGATCGTTGCGGATATATCAACTCAAGCAGGATGCACACAGATGGCCGCTGAAATTAGCAAAACCACGGATCATGTCGACATTTTGGTTGCCAACGCCGGTGCAACTTTCATCGGCCACATGGACGATTACAAGGAAGATGATTTCGACCGTGTCATGAAAATGAACGTCAGCAGCATCTTTTTCTCGGCCCAAAAGTATGCCGGTCCCTCAAGTATTTGACGTTGTGCGCAGGGATGTTAACAACTTTCGTAGATTGTCTCCGTTACTTCAGGCCAGGGGCACAGTCCAGGATCCATCTCGGATTATCATGGTGTCTTCAGTGGCGGGCGTCGTTGTTGGGGACATGGGTGAGCACGGAAGTAAGTCACATTAATTGAAGGACTTTGTCACTGCAAGCGCTGACAATTTAAATAGCATACGCGTACGCCGCTTCCAAGGCAGCTGTAATTCATCTGATGAAGAACCTAGCCGTGGAACTTGGGCCGAAACATATCACGGTGAACGTAGTTGCACCCGGAATGGTTCCGAGCCAAATGAGTGCGCCGCTGATGAATCGGCATGGTGGTATTGAAAGCGTCTCGAAGCAGGTGCCGGACCAGAAGCTAGGCAGTCCCGAAGATGTCGCTGGTGTAATGGTATTCCTATCTTCGAGGGCTAGCAAGCACATCAATGGGGCAACCATTATGTTGGATGGTGGAAGTTATTTGGTTCGAGGTTGTGCCTAGTCATGCATTTGACAACATTCATCTAAGGGTGGAATTGTCACACATAGACCAAAATACGACAAGCACAGACTCCGAATATGGTCTCGTATCCCCTTGGTAGTCGCAAGTGCCATGGTCTGGAGGTTTTGGTGATGTCATAGGACTAGGCTGTAGCGATTTCAGTCGTCCACCATCGGATTGCTTGGACAACTCCGCAAGATCTCTTGCGTTCATGCTCTGTTGATGCTGCCCTGTGATCTATGGTGGGTGAGCGGGCTCTGAGCGGGAAACCGCTTCTACCGCAGTCCCGCTCACCCGCCGCCCAATGCATCTCAAGCCGGATCAGGTAAGACGTCACCTGGCCTGAACCCGAGACCGACCGAAATCCAGGATAGCCCTTGAAGCAATATCAACCCCACGGGGTAATCGTCCGAGGTCTCCATACGCGTGGCTGTGGAGTTTACCCCAGGTTTTCGAGGCCTTGGAATTAGCACCGGACGAAGTTAGCTAGAGTCGTCATAGTCATTTCGAAGGAGACACAAGGCCACTTATACATAAACTCTTAAATGCGTATCAAATCATTGACCATGTAGGTAGGCTCTGTGAAGCTTCGTCTGCTCTCTATACTGGCAATTCTGTACCCTTCACATATCACTATATTTGTCCAACTTCAGGATGGGCGGCGGCGCAGTAGCTTGCGGTGCTTCGGGATCCGAGTCGAATTACAAATCAGTTCGAAATAATGCCAACAGCAAGTGGTGGCTGGATGCAGGTGAGACGATCCGTCTTCCTGAGGTGACATAGACGTGCTGATCTGCTAGGACTGCGGAAAAACGTGTTCCACTGCGTCGGTCTCTGCGGCACGCTCTTCTTCAATGGCTGTAAGAACGACGCTCATTACTCCCCCAGATTGCATGCGGTGAAGACGCATTCCAACTAACGGTATCCCAAAGACGACGGAAGCCTATTCAATGGTCTTCAGACGATTGACGCTTGGCAAAATTTCTTCGGCCATCCCAAAGGCAATCTACTAGGTTTGATGAACTCAGCTGCACTGTTTCCTGGGTTGATATCTCCGTATTTCGCCGAGTTGATCGCAAATCGATTTGGAAGAAGATGGGCCGTTTGGATTGGTGTTCTGATCAATGTGAGTTTGATAACCTGCTACTCCTTGCAATACTGACCCCTACATCGGTGCAGATCGCTGGCGCTGTGGTTAACTCCGCGGCCATCAACCTTGGGATGTACATCGCCGGTCGTGTCTTGATGGGCATTGGCATCTCTATGGGGGTGACGATTGCACCGACCCTCCTGCAAGAAATTGCGCATCCTCGCTATCGAGCCCAGATTGGCAGCATGTGTACGTGACAAGCTACCTATTGGGAGACAACAGCCTGGACTAGTCTCTGACACATCTTAGATACCTGCATTTACTATATCGCTGCCGTGATCTCAGCCGGCGTCTGTCTCGGCACCAGACATATTGAAGGAAACGCTGCATGGAGAATCCCTTGCTACTTGCAGCTTGTTGGGCCAGGCGTGACTTTAGCGATGACCTTCACCATGCCGGAGTCTCCCAGGGTAAGTGATTTCGTATTCTTAACCAAAAGCCTAAGGCTAATGTCTGTACTAGTGGCTTGTTAGACACGGTGCTTCCAACGAAGCTCTACAAATCCTCGGAAAATACCACGCAAATGGCGACATCAACGACCCCCTTGTTCGGCTTGAATACGAAGAGATAATGGAAAATCTGCGGGTTGAAGAGGTCAACTCTGAGACCAAATACACCGACTATTTCCTGCCGAACAACCGCCCTCGCCTTTTTTTGCTCGTCGTTATCGCAATCGGGACGAATTGGGTTGGAAATGGCATTATATCATACTATTTGTCCCCTATCCTGAGCACGATTGGCATTCGGTCCACGGAGCAACAAGCGGGACTCAACTTGGGCTTACAGATTTGGAACCGTGAGCTCCTTTCCTTTTGCTTATTATCACTCTGTTTGAAACTTCACGTGAATGAAAAGAGGATGAAACGCTGACTGCTTTCCTCGCCAGTAATATTCTCCACCTCAGCAGCACTTTCTGTTGATCGCGTCGGGCGCAGGCCTCTCTGGCTCACCTCAACCATCGGCATGTTCTTTTCGTTTATCGTCGTTATGGGACTTTCCGGAGCCTACGACACCCAAGGGCAGAAAAAAGCAGTGGGCCTCGCCGTAGTCCCGTTCTTGTTTGTTTTCTTCGGCTTTTATGATCTCGCGTGGACCCCATTGTCGAACATGTACTCGGTCGAGATCCTGCCCTACAACCTGCGAACCAAAGGACAGGCAATCTACAACATTGTTCAAGGATCCGCGAATGCCGTCAACCAGTGGGTCAATCCGATTATCCTTGAGGCGATTCACTGGAGATATTACGCGGTTTATATCGGAATTCTGGCCTTTTACTGCGTCATTATTTATCTCAGATTTCCCGAGACGAAGGGACTCACCATTGAGGAAATCGCAATTATTTTTGATGGGGATAGAGCCAAAGGTATCAACCGTGCTGCACGTGTTGTCCGAGACGAGCCTCACGTTGTCGGCGATGGGCATTCAATTCGGTCTGAGCATGCGGACGATATCTCCATCAAACAAAATGGCATGGCGGGCAAGAGCAGCGGTAACGTCACTGCATCTGAGCGAGCATGATTGCTACAGCAATACCTTTGAAGAGATTAGATCGTCTGACCTGACGAATAGATTATTGCCTTGAGTGATGAATTGGGCGCAGATGAATTCATCGGCGAGAAGGATGGGAATCTGCAACCAGGAGAGATAGTCATATTCGCATAGAAATTGGATGTCAATTACCATTCGTATTCGATTTTGTTTGAAGATTATGAATTCGGCAGAAAAGCTTCAACAGAATCGTTTTTCATGCGCTTTACAACTCTGCCCATGATGTCCGTTACTTTGACAGTCATTGGGGAAGCGGTTTCATTGTGCGATGAACTTCCGAACCAGGAAAGCTATTCCCATCTCATATGATCAGCGTTTATCCCTCTTTGAAACACTGTTTGCGCAACGTTGAAATCAGAGTCGAGTGACCAATCTGGAACTCCCGTCTCCTGTAGTCATCACTTAGGGTAGGTACTTGATGGAGTACAAGCGGACCATTGCTTGTGGCAAGTGGCCATCGCAACAGGGGTCCTTCAGCGGAGTGATGACATGTTGCCACACCATCAAGGGATTCAGTGAAGCAGGGAGTCAGCGGAACGTCAGCTGCCGCTTCCCGCCTCTATGTCTGGGTGTTGCGGCACGCCGATGCCGACCCTCCCAGTACTTCGGACGCCACATAGGTACGTTTGAACGCGGAAGGGTCGATGCAGGCTAGGCGGTCGTACCGCAAGCCGCACATGAATAGTTAAATTCAAGAAATTAGTACCTTAGGGACGATGTTTAAGTGATCAACTTCGTCAGGGCTCCTGTTGAGCGTCGAGATTGATATTTCAGGGTCGTAACCTGCGCAGGTGCTCAAGGCAGACGGAACACCCGATTTCCAATCTCCACCATCGTATTTCCAACCCGAGACCATCATTATGAGTCCCCCCACCGTTGCGGAGCTTGCCAAGCTCATTGATCATTCCGTCATTGACCCTTTTCACACTGAGAATGATCTGAGAGAGGGAGTCGCCCTGGCCAAGAAATACAAAACGGGCCAGTTTGTCACGCAACCTTTTCGCGTCAAGCAAGCTCGTGAGCTCTTGAAGGGCACCGATATCAAGCTCCAGACCTTTGTGGGTCTTCCTCATGGAAGCGATCACACCGCTGTCAAAGTCCTCCAGGCTTCCCTAGCTCTTGAGGATGGGGCACAGGAAATTGACATGGTCATCAACATCTCCGCATTACTTTCAGGAGATGTCAAGTACGTGGAAGAAGAGATTAAGGCGGTCGTTGAAACAGCAAAAGTGAGTGCCCATCAGTCTCTGACTACCTAGCTTGCACTGGCTTACCCCACCTCGACATGTAGCGGTATGATGTGGTTGTAAAGGCCATTATTGAAGTCTTCGTCTTGAACGATGAGCAAACCAAAACGGCGGGACTGGCAGCCGAGCGGGCTGGTGTTGGCTTTGTCAAGACTTCGACTGGCACTAAGCCCGACAAAGTGCCGGATGTGGAGCGTGCAGTGAAAGTCCTGAGATCTGTGCTCAAGCCCACGACGGTAATCAAGGCATCTGGTGGATGCTACACCACTGATGCTATCGTGACCTACTACAGGGCTGGCGCGAGAAGATTCGGTGCATTTGAGACAGCGAAGATACTTGAAGGCTATGAGGAGTTGCTGCTCCGGGGTGCGACAGGGCTGGAGTAGGACGCCACTGTGGATGACATGTAGCTTGCCTCATACTGAAGAATGGTCTTTTCCTGAAGAAGGATTCTGTCTTGAGGAGTGATCTTGTTCTCGCTTTGATAATGGTGCCCTTATCATAGTACGCTTTTCTGACTCTATTCAAACGAAAGGTTGACAGAATAAACTGAAGTAGCCTTTTGACAACATAATATCTTTTTCGTAACTGCCATGTGTAGAGTTTGAGACAACAAACCTAGAGCCCAAAGCGCCATGGGATTCAACTCACATATTAGCAGAGAGACAGCATAGTTGTGAATGTAAAGACGGGGATGATATTATGGTTGAAGAGCCATGAAGCATGGTTTTAATAAGAGGCCTCCAGCATCTTCACACCAATATTTGGATGAATGGCCTGTATAAGTGGATATTTTTGATGAAATATAGGCATTCTTGGGCAAATTTAATGAGTTCTATTGCCAATTCAACCTAGCTGCATTCACCTCCGGCCTATGTGCTCTCTGGAATTCTTGTTGCACTGGTCTTAACCTTTAAGGTTAGCAATCTCGCTCTCTATGGCAGCCTTAGCCTTCACATCCGCGTCTCCGAAAGCCTTGAAAACATCCTTCAACTTCTTCACAACTGCTGGATCCGCCTCAATTGCCTTCGACAGCGCTTCGCCATCATTCGCTAGCCAATCCGTCTCAGTGCTGGCGAACTTGCCGTCCCACGTGGGCCCAGTCAAGGGGTCAATCTTCATATGCCCTTGAAGCCTGTCTCTTGTCTTGAAGTCCTTGTAGTACGGAGGTTGCCTCTTGGGAGGAGGATCTTTCAAGAAGGGGTATTTTGATAGTGCAGTATCGTCGAAGGTCGTGTTCTGAAGTTCCTCGAGGTGATGGGCGAGAATTGTGATGTGCTGGCAACCCAATTCGGCCGTGGCAATGATCTCACCAATGTTCGCGTTACTGTATTTTGTCAGACCGTATTTCCCAGGCAAAGCAAGACAACTCTATGGACACTTACCTCGCAATGACGATAAGGGGCTGGTCCTTTCCCGTTGCTTGGTACATCTTGGCGTAAGTCTCCAAAATATGGACTAAACGGGGAGCCATCGGGTGCTTCACAAGGGCGATTAGCATGCCATAAGAGTTATGCGCAGTCAAAGCTCACCGTCATTGCGGGATCATCTCCCTTGTGCATCAAGGAGTCATCTTCGTAAGCGGCGACCTCTACAAGGTGTCAGCCCGTGGTCAATTACTTTCATGACTATCCTCACCATTGAGATACGGGCTCACGAAAAGACATCCCGCTTGGCTGGCCGCAATGGCCTGCGGAAGGCTAAACATCGAAGTTCCCAAAGTTCTAATTCCCTCCTCGGTCAGAATCTTGGCAGCAGCCAAGCCTGGGCCCGTCGATGCGATCTTGATCGCGTATTGATCACGTGTGATGCCGTGGTCTCTGAAGGCTCGGTCATACGCATGGCATTGATCCAAGACCTGCTGCTTATCGTGAACGTGGCTAGGCGATACTTGTACGAGAACACGGCCGGTGATGTTCTTCCGGTTGTCTGCGCAGAACTGGACGGACTGAACACCGAGTTAACAACGTCCGCTGGCGTCCTTCATTTGTGAACCGATGAATCTTACAACGCGGTTGAACACTTCTTCCCACCCTTGAGACCCGTATTTCTTGACATTTTCCAAGAAGATGGCCCGGTATTCTGGCTGGAGCATGGTGTTGCAGCAAATTACCTGGTTCGATGTTTCTAGAATTGGTCAGCGCAAAGTGGGTTTGGTCAACTTCTGGGGCTTTCGATAACTCACGGTTGTGGGGTTTGAATGACATTTTGGTAGAGACCTTCGGGTCGATCGCATCTACGTCTACATTGCAGACTCTCTCGAGGGCTTCTAACAAGCTCGTATGTTTCTCGTTGGACATGTTGGTAACTGTTCACTGATTTGCTGCTCGTGCGAATGCAATAACGACTTGGAAACAAGATCGATTTTAAGTAAGATATGTGAATTTGTCTTCTAAAACGTGGAAAAGCTGGATCAATAAGAATGCATCGTCGTCTTCACATGAACCTGCCTCCATAGTCGGTGACATAGCAATCCACTTCGCCGAAGTTTTGCCGCGGGAGCAATCCCGCTTCGTCCGCTTGCTCCGCCAGTCACTCAATCGAGTGCGAATGCGCGTGATCCCCACATCAACTTGCATCAAGGTCCATCGCCGTAGGGTGCTTGATGGGGCCAACATAGCCCGAAGTTGTGTTCCGGTATAAGGACACCGGAGCTTGGTGGATGCCTCGACAAGTGGTGCATGATGCGTTTAGTGAACAATCAGAACCGAGTTTGAAAGGCCCTCAGAACCTATCACACGATGTCTACCGCAATCCCCACCAACAAGAGAACGGCTATTCTCAATGATGGAAATGGAATTCCACTAATCGGCCTGGGGACGTACCTCTCAAAGCCAAATGAGGTTCGGGATGCTGTTCTAGCGGGGTAAGCATTATGGCCGCTCTTGAATGTGTGTCCCAGTCACTGAGACAGTAATCCAGATGGAAATGTGGCATGCGGCACTTTGACTGCGCGCAGTTCTATCAGGTAAGATTTCAGAGTACCTCATCATCCATGTCTCTTCTGTTAATCGAGGTTCCAGAATGAAAAGGAAATCGGTTCGGCAATCGAGACTCTGAGGAAGGAGGAGCCGCGCTTCAAGAGGGAAGACCTCTTCATCACCAGCAAGGCTTGGAACTCGTCAGTACAAACCCAAACATGTTCGTAAAGCAAACGATTCACACTGACATTCTTGGAGACATCACCGACCCGAAAATCTGAAGAAGGCCCTCGATCAGACTTTGAAAGACTTAGGCACTGACTACTTAGATCTTTACTTAGTACGATGAATAGTCAAGCCAAACATTGTAACGACCGGGGCTAATTGATTAGATTCACTGGCCAGTCAACTTCGCCGCGGTCGATGATGCCAAGTCCGATACTGGAGTAAAGCTGGAACCATCTGAGGGAGGCAACATGCTGCTCGACAGGGAGCTGAGCTTGACGGCTACCTGGGAAGCTATGATCGAGGTTAAAAAGGCTGGCAAAGTGAAGAGGTGATCTCCATCTTGATCTGGACGTGACTAAAGCATATGATGTTGACAATCACCAAGCATTGGTGTCAGCAACTTCAGCCTGGCGCACATTCAGAAGCTCATTGACGAGACTGGTGTAGTTCCAGCTGTCAACCAGGGTACGTCAAAACTAATCACTGTGTTCAACGTATCTAAGACGATTGATCTTCGCTAATATAGATCTTATTCCTCTCAACTAGTTGAAGCTCATCCTCTTCTGATCCAACAGGAGTTGCTCGATTACTGCACGTCGAAGGGCATCCATATCACGGCTTACATGCCGTTTGGCGGCGATGCAGCTCGAGGCGGGGTCAAAGTCCTCGGAAATCCTGCGGTGGACAAAATTGCTCGCAAATTCGGTAAAGATGCAGGCCAAGTCCTGGGATCATGGGGAATCAAGGCGAGTATTTCTTTGTTTCAGGGACGTCCCTCTAATACGAGATCAGCGAGGGTTCTCCGTCCTACCAAAATCTGTGAAACCATCCAGGATCGAATCCAACTTTCAGGTCTTTGATCTAGACGACGACAGGTAATGTGTATTCGGAGTTCCCAAGCATGTAATTAGGCTAATAGTTGGTGCTCTCTGTGTCTACAGCTATGAGGTTCTCACTGAACTTGGCCGCAAAGACCCCGCCCGCTTTGGAGGTCTCCCCTTCACTTTCAACCCGGCTTGGAAGGTCAATGTGTTTGACACTCCTGGAGAACGCAATGTGGGCCTTCACGAACCATTCTGAGTGCATAACGCATTGCCATTCCAGACGTGAACGAGATATCTGAGCAAATCTTGAACTCCAGAGTACCTAGTTAGAACCATGTACCAAGTTTACGAGTTGACTCATCAAACCTTGTCAGATTGTGCCCTCTACCGCGTGTCGTGAGACAGTGCTTGTCCGTAGTGGTAGTCCCGGAAGTAAAAGCCAGAGCAGGAAGCAGACCGCAAGGACCGAGAGTATGATGGGCTGTAACACAGCCACCCCTTTGGCTTGAGCAATAGCTCCCACCATGAAGGGAATGACCGAGGCACCGGAGGCTCCGATAGCTGAGCAGATTCCGATGGCAGACACCCGCATTCTCTGTGGCAGGAGACGAGATAGACAGACGATGACTGCGGGGAACACAGGGCCCAGGAAGAATCCTGACAAGCGACATTAGAAAAATGCTTGTGTCTTGGCAAACGAGGATCTTACCTAGGAATGCAACAATGATCGCCGAAGAGATGAAGTTGGGGATGAGCCAGTACAAGAGTTGCATGACGATGGCACAGACCAAATACACGGTCACAGCATGCTTCTCAGACTTGAAGACACGTCCAGTGACAAAGCCAAGGATGATCCGACCGACAGTGATTCCCGCCCAGAAACCACTGGCAGTAAGTCCCGATGCAAAGGCTGAGCCGCCACGCACATCGATCATGAAAGTCACGAGCCAGCCGCCGAGAGCGACTTCGGACCCTACATAAGCCAGAAGGAAGGCGCTACAAACTAGCACAACCCTGTTCTTGAGGCAATTCCAGGTGTTGCTAGTTTTGAAGCTGCTGGCAGCCTTGAACACTCTTGAAGAAGGGTTTCGCCTCATGGGCGGCCGGCCTGCATTCTCACCCAGCGGCATCGCCTGCAAGGGGAGCTCGACTGTTTCTTGCTGTCCCCGAGACTCGCCAATTTCCTCTCGGTATGCCTTTCCATTCTGAGGATAGAAGAGGGAAAGGGTAAGCACGAACTCCGAGGCAGCCATCGCGACCAAGACGTAGTATACTTGGTACCAATGCCAACCCCGGGAAAACAGTGCACTTGCGGTGACTGGAGTGATGGTTGCACCTAACCCGTAAAAGCCATGCAACAGTCCCAGAAGCTCATTGGATTTATTGAAGCCTCCGACAAACGAGTTCCAGGCAGCGGTTTTAGCGCCTGATCCAAGACCAACGAGGATGTAGACGACAATAAGAACCGGGAATGGCGGGTGGAAACAGCCTACGAGGTAGGCCGTAAAATGACAAGTTCCCGCCATGATAATGACCCCGCGCTTGCCATAACGTAAATGGACGGCGTGGTTCGAAACAGTGCTCATGATGAACCCCAATACAGGCGATAGGAAGATGAGCGATACTTGGAGGTAAGTGATGCCGTAGTATTCCTCAATCTGTTACCCAAGGTTAGATCGAGCAAGCGTGAATGCATGGAGTTATCGAAAAGTTGATCTGTCAACAATGCTAGACGAACCTGTGGAATAAGAACCTGAGATCGTCGCCATGTCAGTAGATAACCTTGCAATTGAAGGATCGTGTTGCACTAACACCATAAGAACTGTCATTGCTGCCCAAAAGCAAGAAACACCAGAAAATCGCGCCTAGTTTGGCAATGTTGATGCGCGGGAAATCCCATCTTTCATGCGTAGGTTGCTGGTCTGCATCGTCGGACTCGGGTTCGGGGTTGGCTGGCTGCACTGCACGAGATCTTTGGCGTCGAAAAGGCCTGTTGTTTATGAGAAACGAAGAGATCGGAGATATGAGCTTCAGGGGCGACATGGTGAGGATAAGCAGTGCGCGCTAAGATAAGTAGACCGAGTCAACACCAGAAACACAGCTGAATAGCCAGAGTCGCGACCTGGGAAGCCCACCTCTTATTTATCATTGGCAATCTCATTGTCTTTGATAAGGGCTTCTCGAGAGGGTCCACTCGTTGGCTCCCCCCTTTGGAGGAAGCCATTTTGAATCACGCATCCGATACGTACTGTTACTTTGCACAGTGTTCAATTTCTCTGACGGACAGCGTGATGCAGGCCACGCACCGGCGCTGAAAAGTATCCGGCCCAGTGGGTTTGCTGCTATTTCCGCTACAATGCCTGGAAATATGGGGATCCAGGCCTAACCATTCAAGGATCCGGGCTGATCTGTGTGACGCCGACGCGGAGAGGGTGCGGGGAAGTTGGCTTCCAGGCTGTTTACCCCAGATTCGTGCTCTTTTCATGTTCAAGAGACAGCATCTCAACCCTCCAGGATGCGCAGATCACCTCACAGAGAGTACTTACATCACATACTGGGTTGTAATGATACACTGAGACTCAAGCTCTTCCCAAGCTCGACATCAGCCACCGCGTAAGCATCACATCGGAATCTGCATCATGACGAGTCAAGGCCGGACAAGGCCGAACTACCCGCGGCGGCGGGCACCTGTTGCCTGTCACTTTTGTCGATATCGGTAAGATCAGACCTTTGTTCAGCTTCCAACTTGGTCAGATCACTGACGCTTCCTACACAGCAAACGGAAATGTGATTCCCAGCGCCCTGCATGCGGTTTATGTGCCGTGTCTGGCGTTGACTGCGAGTACCCAGAGCCTTCGGAAGACACGAGGTACATGCCCTGCCCCTCGGCTATTCAAAGCCATTCTACTGAAGGATCTCAGGCTGACGATGTGTTTTGCGGCTTGCTTCCAGGCAAAACACAACGCAAGGCTCGGTAAATTTGCCGGTAGATGCTCTCTTGCGCCGTCTGGATCAGCTCGAGAATATGTTGAAACAGCAAAATGGACAGCGGCAAGAGTCTCAGCCGACACAAGACGGTGATGAACAGCCTACATCTGAGCGACCAACACCGGGCTCTGCTCACCAAGACGAAGGATCTCCAAGTTCACATGGCTCGCCACCACAACAGACACCTCCACCTGATGACGTCGCAGGCCAGTCTACGGATAGTCCAACTCCTAATCTCACCGAGTCGACTTTACCGACAACTGTCACAGATGGTGTAACCATCACGGCATCGGACACGGACCAAGGTAACCAACATGAAGCCCAAGGGGAGCTGATGAGCGACGTTTACGATGACTCCATGCTCGACAACATCCAAGGCTTTGTATCATACCTGTCATCCCATGGTCCGGCCATGACAGCGTCGCATACCATTGAAAAGACATGGGTCTCAGCCGAGCCACCATATCCAGTGATCGGCCATGGCCAGCGCTGCATCACCTGCGGTCGATCCGACAGCCGCCTATTAGATGACGCACCTATCACCATGCCAATAGGCCACCACACCTCCACCGGAAGCATGTTCGCTCTTGAACCCGTTCGTCGCCTGATTGGCGACTATCCAAGGGATTTCTTCTACCAGGTTGAGACATGTCGAACCAGCATCCCAGAACTCAGCTCTCGACATGACCTGTCCCTCCTGCTGGCATCCGTTGACTTCATTGGCGGTGCCACAGATGGTCTCGTTTCGAGCTACTTCACAAATATCAACTCTACGTTCCCGATATTGGACAAGACGTCTTTCACGGATCTCTTTCATCGGACTCTGAGAGGTGACCAGTGCGAAGATGTCGATGCAGCTGTCTGTCTGGTCGTTTTAGCTCTTGGGAAGCTGACTAGCACTGACTATGAGGATGTCAACTCCACAAACCACTCATACGGCCTTGAATATTTCATCCCTGCGTATCAGATACTGACAACGCAATGGGTGACGTCCTTCGGCACCGATCTTTCACTGCCGACAGGTCTGGTCCTCTCCGCTATCTACATGTCTTGCCTCGCTCGACCATTGCTTGCTTGGAAACTCGTATATATGGCGTCCAGTAAGCTGCAAATGATGGTGCCAAGTCGGAACCAGGGCAGCGCAGCTTTCTCAAACGCAGAGAATGAGACCGTCGGTCGCCTCTTCTGGGCATGCTTTCTACTGGAGTGGTAAGTCAGAAGCCTGCGCACACTGGGCCCTGCTAATGAGCATGATCAGTGACAACTTAGCTGAACTACACGTACCACCGAGCGGTATTGAAATCGACATCGACCGTATGCAGTATCCACGGCTAAGTAGCCCCGATGAAAGAGACGGACTCGTGTTCCTTGCTCTATGCTCGGTCCGGGGCCTTCTAAATCGCATCCATAACGCAGTGTACGCGTCAGGAAGCCAGGCCCCTCTCCAACCAGCAAGCACGCCAAGCTATACTGAGAACGACAACTCCACTGGGTCACCATCTTTATCAACAATCTGCTCACTTGAAAGAGTATTAAATGAGCTTACACGCCAGCTTGAGGTTTGGTATCACTCGTTACCTGACAGCATCAAGCCGGATCTGAGTCATAACGTGCCTACTGATGCACACGAGGCTTCACTGCGACTCCGATACTGGTCAGCCAGGCACATCATCTCACGTCCGTGTCTTGTATACATTCTGTCCGTCAGCAGAGCTGATGAGATCCCTACCTACGTCTACAAATACGCTGAGACCTGTATTCAGAGTTGCCGCAACTACATTGAAACCGCTCTACAGGTCTTGACCAAACGCACCCCATACGTGTGGGCTATATGCCAAGCGTAAGTTCTGCCTTGCTGTTACTCATCGCAGAATGCCACGCTGACTATAGTGACTCCGTCCAGGTGCTTAGCAACATCTTTCGTGTTAGCCACGTCGTCGGACTCACCGATCTTGAAGCACCTGGTTCCTGACATTGAAGGGATCGTATCTCGACTCATAGTTGGCATGCAGCGTTGGGCGTCACCCGAGTCCAGTATAGAGTCAATCATTTGCATTCTACAGTCCATCCACCAGAAACAGCGACTAGCAAAGCTCAAACGCCGGCACCCGTCGACATCACTGGGTTGAAGCATCTCGTTATATCGGTTTAGGGAGCTGTTACTCTATGGGCTATATCTGACATCTGGCTAGTCTAAGTAGAGAATCTTAGTCCTCCATTGGCGCAAACGACACTTCCAGTGCACCAAGACGAGTCCTGACCACAAATCATACCAACAACGGCGGCAACCTCGGTCCAGTAAGCCGGGCGTCTCCCAGCCATCTTCTCATTGGCCAACTTCACCAACTCCGGCCGATCGACTCCATCACGAACAGCCGTCAAAGGAGCGGCCAGTTGAAACGGCTCCAATTGCTTCCAGAACTCCTCTCCCGCCGCCCAGTACATGTCGCCCTCGACGGGACCGGGGTTCACAGCGTTAACGGTAGCCCGCTCCACAAGTTCTCTCGCCCATGTCCTCGTCATGGCCTCCAACGCAGCCTTCGTTCCGCCGTACAGGGTGTGCGTCTTGAAGCCCATGCTCGAAGCAACGGAAGAGATGTTAACGATACGGCCCGAGCGGTCGTGCGGCAGGTACGGCAGGACTGCCTGCGTGACCATGATGGGGGCCAAGACATTGACGGCGTAAATGCGGTGGAACTCATCAGCTGGAACCTCGCCCAGGGCATAGTCACCGCCGACGCCAGCATTGTTGATGAGGATATCGATGACGAGAGTGCCATCGGCTCGGGCGAAGTTGGCTTTGGCCGTCTCGACGATTCGCTTGCCTGCTTCCTCGGGTTGGATCAGGTCCGTTTGAAGAGGGACGATCTTGACGCCGTGCTTTGAAGAGAGCGAGGCGGTCAATTCTTGGGCGGCTTTGGTGGAGGAGTCGGACGTGTACACGCCCAGAATATTGGCGCCTTTGCCTGCAAGATGCTGTGTAATGGCAGAGCCGATGCCTGAACATGTTAGCAGAAAGCCCTTTCCAGATGGAAAGTCTGTTCACCTCGGAAGCCGCCGGTGACAACGGCGATTTTGCCTTCAAGAGGTCGAGCTGTGTTAGACGCCATCTCTGCCTTTGGAATGTGTATCGAAGTTCTTCTTCTTTGAAGGATCTGGATTTGAAACAACAAGAATGGCGAATCAGAGGTACGGCAGGTGAATCTTGATGTAAAGCAAGTACAAATGAGTAGGGTGATATCACCTTTGATGTGTTTTCTACTTTTCTAATACTCGGTCCATCTTGTAGCGAGTCGCTTTAATGCAATTGCTTAAGCATGCGTCCAGGGCCCAACTATTGTCCCTGGCCCATACGGTCCGACATCCGCTTGCTCCGATACTTTCTGAAGACGAAGAAGGTGTTGGGACAACGCAAACCAGTCAGTCAAGATGCTGGCGGACCTTTGCGGAAGAGCGGGAAGAGCACCGCCTTGCATGTGGGGGAGGGGGATCTGCAGGGACCTTTGCGTCACGCCGCATGTGCTACACATAGCGATGTAATAGCAACTTTGACCCTCTCTTTCGCTGCTCAAGTTTTCGTTCTTACGAGGACTTCTGCACTTGTTTCACGAAATCAGCTCTCGATATCTGTATTGAATATAATCATCGTTGGGAGGCATCACGACGCAGCATCATGAGCAACACGGCAGACCCTTCGTTTCGTGAGGTGAAGGCGCGGCAGGGCGGCCCAACCACTCGGGCTGCCGATTTATTCCGTCTTGATGGTCGGACTATTATTAGTAGGTGGCACGTCGAATCTCTGAGGTTCCTAAACTAGTGAACTTCAACGAAAGGAATAGAAGTGGAAACTGACGCGATCCCAAATAGTAACTGGCGGCGCGGGCTATTTGGGCGTCGAGGTTGCCCAAGCAGTACTGGAGGCCGGAGGGAACCCCGTGTGCCTCGACATTGTCACCAGCCCTCCTAGCGAACCTTGGAGTAAGTTGACCATCCCTGGATAGCCATTCCCCGACAGGATCTGTTCTCAGATTACTGGGAGAGTATTTGACGGGTTCAATAAGCGGGAGGTGAAGCTGACTTCCGACGTTCCCAGACCAGCTGGAAAAGCTCGCCACTAAGTTTGGCTTGCAATTATCGTACTATCACCTGGACGTGACCAACGAGAACAGCATCACAACTGTATTCAACCAGCTCGCACCAACACTCAAATACCCCATACGAGGCCTGGTAGCCTGCGCCGGTGTCTCCGATAACGACCCCGCGCACGAGTTCTCTATCGAGCGCTTCCGCCGCCTCATGGAAATCAACGTCACCGGCACATTCGCAGCGGCACAGGCTGTGGCTCTGGAGATGAAGAAGGCTAACGTGGACGGCAGCATGGTGTTGGTCGCAAGCATGAGCGGCACGAACGTTAATAAGGGAGTCGATACGGCTGCGTACAACTCTTCCAAGTCTGCAATCTTGCAACTTGCGCGGTCGCTGGCGGCCGAATGGGGCTCACGAAAGGGCATGCCTCTCATCAGGGTCAACAGCCTGTCGCCGGGGTACATCAGAACCCCCGCCACCGCTGAGGCGCTGCAGAAGCCAGGCATGGAGAACCAGTGGACCGGAGACAACATGCTGTACCGCCTGAGCTCCGTGGACGAGTTTCGGGGCCCCGTGCTGTTCCTCCTGGGAGATGCGAGCAGCTTCATGACGGCGGCAGACCTCAGGGTGGACGGCGGACACTGCGCATGGTAGATATAGGGGAATAAGGAATAGAGAAGAGAAGATGACTAGGATTTGCATCGAGTAATTGACTTTCAAAATCCACTTTTTCAAGTATTACCTTCTCAATCTCGCAATACGGAGCCGCCCAACATTTGGCAATGTTTTGTCGGTTTCAATCATTACAGTGAAATGTAGATGCGCCGCCGCTGGAGCACGTAGCAGAGTCAACGGGATGTTATTTTCTCGATTGGATGAAAAACTTCAATTTCTCCACATCTAGACCAACACGAGATTCTCCTGGCAGGGAAGCCTATTCTCTCTAATGTCCTTCGCATTGAGCTCATCGGTGCCAGTCGCTCGCTCCCAAGCCTCCTTCTCATCCTTCACTATGCCCGCCTGAAGGTGCCTGACAGCGAGCCGCTTGTGGGACACTTCAGCGGGCGTGTCCACATACCAAAGCTCCGTCATCAACGCAGCAGCATCGCTCCATGGAGTTCTGTTCAACGCACAGTAATTTCCTTCCACCAAAACGATTCGAACCTCACTAGGAATGGCAATATCGTCTGCAACAGGGTCTTTTGTCGCATGATCAAATGAAGGCGCTTTCGCTTCCACCGGAGGCTCGGCGACAAGCTGTCGCACCAAGGCCAGGAAGCCTTCAGCATCAAATGTGAAGGCGGCTCCACGGCGATGTGTAGCGAAGACTGGATCTGGCATCGAGGCGAGATGGGCGCGGGAATAGTGGAATCCGTCCATCGCGAGATCTACGGCTGTAGGTGCAGTCTTTGCACTCGGACGGAGCTTGTTGATGCGAGCGGTGACCAACCGAGCCAGCGTGGTCTTTCCGGAGCCAGGCACGCCTGAAATCCCAACGACGATCCTGCGTGAGGCAGGCTGTGAATCTAGGGCAGCTTTTAGCATGTGTTAGCGGCAGTTCAACTGTATCTCGCCCAGGCACGACAGAAGCACTTACAGAGCAGCTTCTTTGAAAGTCGGTCTACCTCCATCTTGACATTTGGCTCAAGACTCGTCATATCCTGCATATCGACTAAAATTGAGATCGGATTCGATATAAGGTGGTAATCTCGGTTCTTAGATGTAAATGTGTAACAGGTAATGGTTGAAGATTACCATCTTGATGCGTTGAAGGGCTTTATGCTTGCTTCACAGCAAGCGGGTGGCGGATGGCGGGATCAGCGCCAAATAGGGCCTAAACTTAGCTACCAGCACCATGACCATCAAACCACGAACAGGGCACAAGGAAGAATATTGAGGGACGCATAGATTTCAACGAATGACTGCAGCTGTTCTAGTTACAAAAAATGAATTATGTTTTCTCTCGTCTTTACCTGTGGTGGCGCGACTAATATGGCTTCAATCCAGCTAACTTCAACATCACATCGTTCACCTCGGGCTTCTCTAGCGGCTCGTCCCTGTTGCGTGGATCAACCGTACCATCAGGAAGATGCGCAAGCTGAGGCCGAAGCCAAATGTTGTCGTGCGCCCAATGGGTCGTTGCGCCATAGACGTTGAACACGCGAGCTTTCTCCTCAAGAGCTTCTCTCTTGGCAAGTTTGGCGGGAGAGTAGGATGCGTATATTACGGTTCGGATCGTTTTGCTGTTCGCCGTGGGCTCAGCTCCCCAGTGCACCGTTCGCGAGTCCCACAAGATCAGGTCGCCAAGCTCTGCCTTGACTTTGCACGCCTTGAGCCCTTTGCCCTCGAACCACTTCATTTCTTCCTCACTGAAGCGGCGCCAATCAATTTCAGGCCAGGAGGATCGATCGGCCTGAGTGTCGAAGAACTCGGCGTTGTAAGCATTCGAGCCCGGTAGCACCATAAGCGAGCCATCCTCATCGCCAACATGGCTCAGGTTGATGATGCCCTGGATGCAGTGCAGCCCGCGTTTAAAGGGTGACTGGTCAACATGGGGCCATGGGGCGCGGGGCGGCTTGTCCTTTCGCCCCGGAAGAGTGATGTTCAGCGAGTCGAAGGAGACGAGTAGCTCGTTCGTGTTCCAGACTTTAGAAAAGGCATCCACGACTCCAGGTTCCATGCGCGCATCCCACATGAATTTCTCGTGGACAACGCAATAGTTGTCAAAGGTGTTGAGCTTGCTCTGTACAGGCATGTTCTCGGCCAGCCAGGTGTCGGGGTCGTCTAAGTCCAGCGGCAGGCCGAAGGAAGTAAGCCACTTCAGAGCCCGTTGCTGGTACTCAACCGCACGTTCGCGGGGAATAGCGCCCTTGACTACAGCATATCTGTCAGATAAGGCTATCCGAATATGGATATGTCAGGCACAAGGATTGCATATCCAAAGTATGCATATAACACCTATATCTCCGAATATTCCGATGTCGGATTCCAGCGAGAACACACCGACTTTTTCTATCATCATCATCA